CTTGGGCAAATGATCTTAGAGCCTGCAACCCTTTTCCCTTCTGAACCCCCAGCCCCTACACCAGCCAGATTAAATGGGGGGGGTCGAGTGGGTGGAGCTTTGGGGGAAGGGGCTGGGTAGATCTTAGATATTAAAAATTTGGAGATCACTGCTCTACTTTATGAAACAGTCTCTGAAGTAGATGAGACAAATGGGGCCTCGGACAAAGTAACATCAAAATGAGTTATTGGATAGTAAACAAAAGCCTCTATTCACCACCTGGAGTCAGCTGGGTGTGGCTTTGAGGCAACATGGGAGAAGTGAATGTTTAGGATGGGCCTGAAAATAAGGCAGAAGTTTTGCAGATCAAGTGTTTTCTATTCATAAGAGATGGAAGTGGAGGTGTTTGAAAGAGATGCAAACAAAATGCTTGTCACCTTCAAGGTAAACTAGATTGGATATTCAGGGCTCCGTTAAATGACCTGTCTAGAGAGAGAGATGTTTCAATGATGTCTCAAATGTGGTGGATTAACACGATGGAAAAGCCCTCTTAATAATTAAAGAAATTAACATCTGAAGCCATGTTAGTTAGCCAAGTGGACTATAACTGGTGAGTGTTTCTTTAAGTTGCTAAGCTAACATGATTATCCTTTTTCGTCCATCAAGACAAGATTTAAGCTAACATGATTAAAGTATCCTTTTTCGTCCATCAAGACAAGATCTTAGACCTTGTCTGGATCACAATTTTAAGAGTAATATTAATACTTAACTGTTAGCTAATATAGTAACACACTTAAATCCTAGTCCTGACAAGGCCTTGTAGGTAAAGATTAGGAATGTAGTCCACTACACGATTAACCGATAAGCCTTGGCTTATTGGTTAATATTATCTACTACATGCACTGAGGAGCTGGCTTTAAGCCGGCTCCCGTGAACACCAGATCTTCCTCCCAGTACTTGTGGGGAGCCAGCTTTTGGCTCTGTGTGTGTGCCTGCAGTGTGAACCTGCCTCCTTCCCCCTCCTCCCTACGCTGTATTCTACAAAGGCAGCAAGGGCGGGGGGAGGCGGGAGAGGCAGGAGCCAGTTTAAAAGCCGGTTTCCCCCAGCACCAGCTCCGGGGGGCCCCCTCCTCCCTGCGCTGCTGCCTCTGTCTGTGGCAGCCCGAGCTCACTGTGGACAGGCTGGTGTGCAGGGGATCTGATCTTCCTGTAGACAGGGGCTGCTGCTGGACCAGCCTCTGTCCGTGAGAGGTGGAGCAGCCTCTGTTTGCAGGTAGCTCACCCACCCCGCACGTGGATAGGGGCTGCTGCCACAAAGCAGCTTCTATCTGTGGCCAGCCTAGTCTGTCATGGTAAAACAGGAGAAAAGTTGGAAGCATGCAAGCACAGCCAAATCTACCTGTTCTAAAGGACAAAATGTAGATTGCAATGGAATGTTCTGATGTGGAAGATTTTTTTTTTTTTAGGGTTGTGCACTACCTTGTGCAAGAAAGGATGAAGTGGCGCTATGCTGGTATTTCCTTTGTGGAACACCTTCAAAGTAAATCTGTTTTTGGGTGTGTAAATAACTTAAGGGATTTTTTCTTGACTGCTTTTTCAGTTCAAAGAAATAAGCTTTGCTTATGAAGTTCTGTCAAATCCTGAGAAACGTGAATTATATGATCGATATGGAGAACAGGGCCTTCGAGAAGGCAGCAGTGGAAGTGGTGGAATGGACGATATTTTCTCCCACATTTTTGGTGGTGGATTGTTCAGTTTCATGGGTAGTCAGAGCAGAAGTCGCAATGGTAGAAGAAGAGGAGAAGATATGATGCATCCACTTAAGTGAGTATTTTGATACTGTAATTCTTCTCCCTTAAATTTCTGAAAAGATACAGTGAAGGTGAACATGGTCTGCTAATTGTTGATGCTCTAGTGGGTGTCAGTTCATTCAAAGTCTGTTTTTGTGTGGGCACAACCAACTCAAATTCATTGAAAAGAGTTACTTCTAGATTTCCACAACAGTTAAAAGAAACCGATCTTCCTGCTCTAAAAGTTTGCATTTAGAAATTGTGTTTTAGAAGAATATATGTGGCTGAAACTTCAAGTGTTAAGATACATATTTTATTAGTGTGTAAACCCTGCTTATTTTTATAAACATTTAAATCTTGCGTATTCTTGACTGGTTTACACAAACTGCTTTAATTATTTGAACATAAATGGCCTAAAGTTGTACAGTGGGATCTGTTAGCCTTCCAGCCTCCTAATAATCTCTGATCATCCAACCTGAATGTTTTATTCAAAACTAGAAGTTTGGTCTATGGAAAATTGGCTCCCTTAGATTTGATAATGACTGTTTTTCATTCCACTGGGAGTCTATGGATGGTTTTTTTGGGGGGCTGGGGGGATCCTCTATTGATAGGAATTTCTGCAGCCCCATTCATCACTGTTAATAACAGATTGATTAGAATTATTTTCCCTGGTTGTATTAACATAATTAGTCAAATGTTCTGACCTTCAGAATGCATGAAATTACTTAGTATTCACTAGTTCAATGTTTTTGGGAAATAGAGCTGTTAGTATGTTGTGGAGTTAGGTTTTAAGGTATTTATATTCTTACCCTGGGACCAGCATGGGAACAAGGGCATGTTTCTGATTATTTTCCATTAATTATGTACAGCAGAAATTACTGCCAGCAAATCAGTTGCAACAACTCCTCTTCAGATATCCTACTTGTTGGTAATTAAAAAATGTTTGATTTAAAAAAAAAAACCCTAAATCTGTTTTTCTGTGACTTAAAATGTAACACTGAACTTGTGTCCCAACCCACAAATATATACACACACACATTTTTTTAGACAGCTACTTTTAAGTAGCTAAACTGTAAAGTTAAAAGAACAATCCAGTTTTTTTCTCGTGCATTAGATATCTTGTAGTCCAAAGTTAGTAAATCTTACTGCTGATGTGGTCATGGGAACATACCATAATATAGCAACACAACACTGTTCCAGTGGAAATAAAACAAACTCCTAGTGTGAATTCCTAAGGAAAATATTAAACTATAACTATTATTCAGAACTGGTAGGAATTGTATTGCATCTGAGAGACTTGTTTTAGATAGCTTGTAAATTCCTTGTTAATTCTTCAGAAGACTAAACTAATTTGTTTCCTGTTGGCCTCTGCTAGACAGCTAACTTCAGCTTGGCTTCTGATTAATTTAGAGCTTTTCCTTGAAGTATGTATGTTTTCAGGTGCATTGTTTTTAAATGAGATTTCTCCAGGTCTGAAACTGTTCTTCAAAGTCTGTTTTAAAATCATGAAAGAGGAGGATTCTGTATTTTTAATTACAGCTTATCTTATTGTAGCTTTTGATACAATGTCAGTATATAGAATTTTACTTGTTCAAAAACTTCGTGTTTAACATCTTTTCTGTGTGTGTTTTTTCCCAAGAACAATGTGTAAACAAGGGTCAAGTTTGCTGTGACTTTTTTAAGTTTTACCAAAAATTGTCTTAGTAGGGATGTGAAAGTGTAGCCATGTACATGGTTAACTGATGAGCCCAGGCTCATCAGTTAACGTTCATGGTTACATACAGGCTCCTGGTATTCAAGGGAGTGGGGGAGGAGAAATGTGGCTTAAAAGCCAGCTCCCTGCACACACTGGCTCCCAGAGAGCTACCTCCCCTCCTCCCCCCATCTCCTCTCCCCAACCCACCCACCCACACACTGCTGGGGTCAGGTGAGAGCTAGTATTCCTACACCTACCTGCACCCATCAAAGTACCTGCACCCCGCATATAACCGCTGAACTTTTCAGCAGTTACACAATTAAATGCATTTCAACATCCCTGTTAGATAGTGGCTTATACGTAAGCTAGACTGTTAAAGTCACTTTATCCCAAAGTAATTATTGGAACACTAATACTGGAGAACTTATTTTATTTTCTAGAGTGTCTTTAGAAGATCTATATAATGGAAAGACAACTAAACTACAGCTTAGCAAGAATGTCCTTTGTAGTTCATGTAATGGGTAAGTTCAATAATTTTCATTAACAGTGCTAAAATTTTTGACTGCTTTCTTACTCTTAAATGCATTAAACTGTTACTTTAAATTGATATCTAGTAGGGATGTAAGTGACAAGTCAACTATCCAATAAGCAAAAGCTTATCAGATAGTCAACTAGTTCCTTGACTAGTCGCTCCTGCCCCCCTTGCTGCTTCTAGCAGAGGCAGCAAAGCGGGGGAGCAGGAGCCAGTGCTGTGAGAAGCTCCCACCCTCCCCTGCAGCATTGTCTCCGCAGGGAAGTAGTGGAGACCTGGTGCAAGCTGATTCCCGGCTTGCGCCAGGTCCCAGAGGCTGCGACTCTGCTTTTTAAATGTATTAAGAATCAGCAAGCTCTCAATACATGTAAAGAGCTGTTGTGCAGTGGGGAGGACCGGGCGTGAGCCAGGCCAGCTGATTTCTGGCTTGCGCCAGGTCCCCCCTGCTGTGCTTTAGCCCTTTATATGTATTAAGAGCCTGTCCGATCTTAATACATTTAAAAATCAGAAGCTCAGCAGAGACACCCAGCGCAAGTCAGCTGTCCCAGCTCGCGCTGGGGTCCCCCTTGCTGTGCAGAGCTGCTGCGGGGATCAAGAGCTAACCCCACTGTAGCTCCCCTGCTTATCAACTAGTCGATGGAAAAATCCATCTACTAGTCAATTAGTTGATCAAAACTATATTTAACTTCCCTGGTATCTAGCAGGAAGTGTAGTCCTTCACATGTAAGCTAGGAACAGGTTGAAGTACTGAAGCAAAATCACCAAAATAAAAGATATAAAAATCTAACCTATAATGCAATTGATGGTGCTCTTTGTGAAACCGTGAAAAAACATCCTCTGTATCTTAGTGATTAGCCTAACTGCAACTGACACTGTCAATGGAATTGGAGATGTAAAACTTAAATTTGGTTTTTATTTTCCACATTTCTCAAAATAACTTCAATTTTAATCTAACTGGCACTTTCCAATTTAGTCAAGGTGGGAAGTCCGGAGCTGTTCAGAAGTGTAGTGCTTGTCGAGGTAGAGGTGTGCGTATCATGATCAGACAGCTGGCTCCTGGGATGGTTCAACAGATGCAGTCTGTGTGCTCTGATTGCAATGGAGAAGGTAAGCCAACTGTGTGCTGTACTTTTAAAAATGTTGAAAGTGGTTAGAATCTAGGTTCAGTAGTAAACGGTCACAACTCATCTAACCTGGAGTATCTTTGAATTAGATTTTGTTTGTAATTTAGTGCAGTTTGATCTCAGTCTGTGAGATTTTTTTGTATATCAGAACAAACACAATTTGGCAAAGTTTGCAGTCTGCTTGAGGGATTATTGGAACCTGAATAGCAAGTGCTACTGCTTGGAAATATTTGGATATGCTTACCTCAGTGTTTAGCTCATTACACTACCAAAATTTTACTGTTATGAGATAAATTTAACTCATCAGAATATACTGATTTTTAAATTACAAGCCATCCTCACTATAAGTCCAAGATACGTCCAAAAAACTTATAGCAAAACAACTTAAAGCAGGGAATTTTTTTCCCATGCATGACTTCCATTTAAGCAAATTAGGGGGAGTGTTTCACACTATAGCAGGGAATTGGAGGACTTATCATGCATCAGTTCCTACAAATGTCAACGACTTTAGTGTGGAACGGTTGTATAGCGGGGTGACTTATAGAGGGGACGCTCTGTATCAGGCTTAAAGTTTTACATTTGTTCATTTGAATTATTTTTCCTAAATAGAGTGTGATTGTCATGTATTTGTAATCACTGCAACACATTGGTTCGGCAAATATATATAGCCTTGACATTAAATTGGGTGTTGCTTCTGGTTAACCAGCACGTGTGCGTACTGTATGTGTACACTGAAGCAATTAGGAAGCTTCACATACAAATTTGAATTCAATGCTAACATTTTTATGATTTTAAAAAATGGTGAATGATCATCTCATTTCCTAAATTAATTTTTTACTTGTATTTTTTGTCTAGATGAACATTTGAATTCAGTTGAATATGTTAAATGGTTTTATTAAATAACATTACCTGCAGTATGCTGGAAATGTAACAAAAACTTACAGAAGCAGTTTTGCATTAAAATTATTCATTAAACAAAGGAAGTATTATCTGTAGCTAATAACTGAATTATAGGTCCAGAAGTATCCTTCAAAATTTTCGAACTAGTACATTTCTTCCTTTCACCTAATTTTATTCATAGTTTACAAGAAGAAAACCAAGCTTTCCTTCAAACTAGGTATCAAATATGCACTGCTTAATATTTTTTTATTTTAAATTATTTGAAATGATAATAAATTTAGGCCTAAATTTACGTGTCATCTCAAATTTAATTTTAAATAATTTTTAAATTAATTTTATTTTTTAAATCACTGATTATTTTTATCCAATCTTCTCAGGTTCCCGAAATATTATCAGTTTATTTCTTCTGAAACAAATGTTGAATTCCATACAGTATTTAAATTGTTCACTTTCTGAAAGATGGCAATAATAGTGTTACATTCTACAGTACTTTCCCTATTCTGGGCACATCTGTGGTAATAAATTAAACATCCTCTGTCTTAAATATATTTCCTGGCTCTTAATTTACACAACACTAATTTGTCTGAAATCTTGTGCTTATACTCTTGATGATGTAATAGCTGAAAATTCTGAGTGCTGAGCCTCAATAAAAACTTGGTTTTTGCTCTTACGTTTTTAACCAAACTTTTTACCAAAGAATTGAAATACCGTATGGTTTCCAGGTTTTTTTAGCTACTTTGTACTTTGCCCAATTTAATGTAAATGCATAGTTCTAGTAGTAGAACTGGACACATCTGATACATTCTAATGTTCTGTACACTTATGTTTCATGGAACTATGGCTTAGTAGGAACTGTACTGGCATCTGAAGTGATAGAATTGTACAAGATAGTTACCTAGTACTTTCTGGTTATTCTACTCTAATCAAGGCAGTTCCTTATTAAATATCTGCCCTTTAAAAGTATATCCTATACAATAGGACACAACACTAAAAGCAAAAAATTCTTCCAAAGCGATTTGGGATTTGGTCTCTTGAACACATTCCCAATGTACAGTAAAAAAGTGGGGTGGGACTGTATCCTCAGGCATTGAAAAACTAACAATCCTCTCTCTCTAGGTGAAGTTATTAATGAAAAAGACCGTTGTAAAAAATGTGAAGGGAAGAAGGTGATCAAAGAAGTAAAGATTCTTGAAGTCCATGTAGATAAAGGCATGAAACATGGGCAGAGGATTACCTTTACTGGAGAAGCAGATCAGGCCCCAGGAGTGGAACCGGGAGACATTGTCCTCCTACTCCAGGAAAAGGAGAATGAGGTAACTTGACTTGATAGGTAAAGTAAAGTTGATGGGTTTTTTAATACTCCTTAAATATTTCTAACTGGAGGATAGAGTACAGACAATCTAGTGATTGCCTATATTATTTTAAGTGAACATTTTGAGATCGAAACTGAATTCACACATGTACAGCTTGTTCCTAGCGGTAACTGCTATAATTTTGAGCTAAAACAGCAGTTGGGAAATGTTAGCAACCTGAGGATCCCCATTTTGATTTAAAATTTTTCATGAATCCTCTGCCTCACCCCTTCACTGAGACCTACCTGTACTCACTCTATCCCTCTCTTCCTCTGTTGCTTGATCTCCCCACCCTTGCTCGCTTTCACTTGGTTGGGGCAAGAGTGTTGGGGTGTTGGCTTTAAGGTAATGGCCAGGGATGAGAGGGTTGGAGTATGTGAGGGGACTCTGGGTTGGGTGATGGAGGAGTGTGTGGGGTAGGGATGTAATAGTGTAGTTGACTAATAGATTAACCAATAAACAGGTGCTTATGCTTTAACATTATCAACTACACGCCACACACCTGCAAGTAAATTTTGTCCAGCTGATAAGCTGGCTCGGTCCCTGCTCACACCGGGACCCAGCATCAACCTCTGAACTGGCTCTTAGTGCTTGTAGTGCAGAGCCGCACTGGGGGTAGCTGCCGGGCCCCTGTGCAAGCTGGGATGAGCCAGCCTGCTCACGTGCCAACTCTTAGTGCCAAGACTCAGCATCAACCCCCATTGCAGCTCTGTAGTGCTTGTGCAGAGCTGCACTAGGGGAAGTTGCCAGACAGGCAGGAGCTGGAATTAAGTGGTAGCTGTGCTACCCCTTATCAATTAATCATGTAGTCAACAAAATTTTTGTCAACTACACAATTAATGAATTATATGCTTCTTCACATCTCTAGTGTGAAGGAAGAGGGCTCTGCCTATGGAGGTACAGGCTCTGGGATGAGGCTAGAGATGAGAGATTTGTAGTACAGGCAGGGGGAAGGGCTTGGGGTACAAGCTCCCTGGAAGCAGCCACCAGTTCCCTGCCTCCCCTAAGAGCTGCCCACATGCTTACACGTACAGACCCTATAGCACCCATTGGTCCACGGTTCCTGGCCAGTGGGAGCTGCAGGTGCAGCACACAGCTCTCTGGCTACCCAATCACCTAGGGGTAGCAGGGACCTGGCAGCTACTTCTAGGGGTACGTCTAGAGTACATGCCTCTGGCGACAGAGGCATGTAGATTAGACTACCCAGCATAGGAAAATGAAGCGGCAATTTAAATAATCGTCGCTTCATTGAAATTTAAATGGCTGCCATGCTGAGCCGATCAGCTGTTTGTTGGCTCAGCGTAGTAGTCTGGACACTCCGCGGTGGACATCAAAGGCATTTGTCGACCTCCCAGGTATGCCTCATCCCAGGAGGGATGCCTTTGATGTCAACCGCGGAGTGTGCAGACTACCACGCTGAGCCGACAAACAGCCGATCGGCTCAGCGCGGCAGCCATTTAAATTTAAATGAAGCAGCGATTATTTAAATTGCCGCTTCATTTTCCTATGTTGGGTAGTCTAATATACATGCCTCTGGTGCCAGAGGTATGTAGTCTAGACGTACCCTAAGAGCTGAACCAGGGCAGATAGGGAGCCTGCCTTAGCCTCTGGAGGGGGGAAGAGTTGATCAGTGGGACCTGCAGAAAACCCTGGAGTTCCCTTCCGGACTCCAATTTGAGAAATGCTGAGTTAGAAGGCTTTGTCTGTAGACCTGGAGAGGAGCACACCAAGAATCCCACTGTGTCAATATGGTCAGAAGTTACTCTCTTAACAGAAGCAGGGTGACCCTTGCCAATACTTACCACTATGAATATACAGTCCTTGTTATGCACCTGCTTCAGCCCTGGCATGCAGTAAGTAAAACTTGAGTCTAAAGCTAGCTGTTTCCCCCAAAGGCTGTTGATGAAAATGGGGAATTCTCCCTTAATCTTCACTAGCTGTAAACTGTTATGCTTCTGTTTGACCTAGGAAGCGTGACAAATGGGTTTGGAAATATTAACCCAGATAAGTAGCATGGTCATGTTGATGTTGCACTGATCATAGGACTGCTCTTCGTTTCGGTCTAAACTGTAGACATTTAAATTTGGCTAATTGCATTTTTTATTTTATCTTGACATATTTTCTATATACTAGGTACTTTGGAGAATATTATTTTGAACTAAGTACTATGAAATTCATTCTGACACACTTCGCTAAATTTTTTGAACATGTGAATTAAGAAAGTTGCAGTATACAGTAAAATCCAGGAGAATGTTTCCATGCTTTAATATAGTAACTATTTTTGGTAAAATTCAGAATAGTAGGTGCAGTAAAATAAGTGATGGTTCAGTATTATGATAACAGCATGTGAAACTACTTTGGGAAACTGTAGAATGCAAGCTGTTTCTTTTCTGGCATTCCATATACACAATTCAGTATTGTGAATTTAGAATTTGATTAATGAAATACTGGACAATGACTAAGTTCATATGTACGAAAGCTTTGAATTAAAAACTGAAATAGAGGTATCTGAAAAATCTTCAAAATGATTCATGCTGCAGTTGCACTCCAACATCAAAGCACTTGACCCAGTTTCTCCTACAGCTGTTGGTATGGTTTCCCTATGTGCTCAATTGTAACTTTTGTGCTTCTCCCAATTTCTTGGCTGTCTTTTGGGTGAACGGAAAGAGAGGCTACAAGGAGAAATAGTGTGACTTGAAGTCTCAGGTACCACTAGCAGAAATGACAGGTTAGAAATTTGAAGCAGGGGCCATCTCAGTCTTGGCCTTTTTTTTGATCTAGCTAGGTCTACTATGGTACTGTCCTATATGATAAAACACTGTGGACTTTTCTTTTTTGCTACGACCATGTTTACTAGTAATTCTGTAGGTCATCTGAAGAAGTGGGTTATGCCCATGAAAGCTCATGATACCATCTACATATTTTGTTAGTCTTTAAGGTGCTACTAGACTATTTGTTGTGGTTTAAGTTTTTCCTCAAACATTAAATCATTTTGATACCAAAACTTCCATGTACTTAAAAGCTTGAGGAAAGGTCTCCTGTTGCCATTTGATTCTAAGTAAAAGCCTTGCAGCTAAATGCATTTGGATGGGAAAAACTAAGACATTGGCAGGTTGTTAAATTTGGTTTAGCAGCTGAGAATGACTTTTATCTGAATGTATTTGAGGCCACAGGTAGCATGAAACTATTACAATTGTTGTCATGTTTGATATGCCAGTGGAGATGTATTTCCTGGTTCCAAAAACTACTTGCTGATGGGGAGAAACTTGTCTTCTCACAAATCAGCATAGAACTGTTGCCATATTTTATTTTCAAGCACAGACATTAATGCTGGATGAAAAAACCTTTATTCAAGTCTCTTCTAGCTGTGAAAGAACAACTTTGAGGATGAAATCATGAACCAAGTTTTATATGCTGTTACACTAAATATCTGTGTGTCTCTGCAAGCAAGTAGTGAACTTCAGGTCTATGCAATAGATAGGGTTGCCAGATGGTCTCCCAAAAAATACCGGACACGTGGTATTTTTTTGGTCGAGCAAAAAAAGAACGTGGGATAATAAGGCTGGGAGGCAGGGCCACTATTGGTGCTGTGAGCCTGTGATTGTGCAGAAGCCTTGTGGGGGTGGCTTCTGAAGTGCCCAGAGCAGCAATCGCAGCCCCACCTACCAGCTGGGACTCCCCACCTGGGAGGCGGGGCTGCAATCGCTGCTCTGGGTGCTTCAGAAGCCTTGCAGGGGCGGGGGGGGGGGGGGGGGGGGGCGCGGGGCATGACCATGGGTAGGAAGGTGACTTCCCCCATAGCCAGGTTTTTGGGTGTCCCAGTGGGAAGAAGCAGAAATTCAATGCAAGTCAGTTTTGGCTGAGAGCCCGTGGAAGGCTCCTAAAGGCAACTACAAAGCACCTGCAGGCTTCTCTCCTGGACTATGGCGCCACAATGCGTTTGAACAGTGCTCAGGAGCAGGGATGGAGCTTCTCCTCCCCAGGGCGTCACTCCTCCTCAGATGCAGTCAGCTGAGGGCTCTCAGCCACTGCCCCAGCCAAGCTTTTGCATGCTACCACAAGCTCCCAGTGCTGATCGTGGCCCTGCCTCCTAGCCACTCTCCCCGCCACCGCCAGGCCTCTGTCCGGCGCCCAGCCGGAAAAACAGAAAATACCGGACATTGCACATGTTTGGTATTTTCTGAATTTTTTTACCAGACAGAGGGTGCAAAAACTGAACTGTCCAGTAGAATACAACTATCTGAAACAGGTTTGTGCCCTTCCCCCATTTTTTGTTTGTTTGTTTTTGTTTAATTGGGAAAATAGTGACAGTATCAACAGCCAGCTTTAATATGAACATTTTGAGGCTAAGTGAAATAGTCTTTAATGTATAATTTTATTTCCTGGTCTCCACTGTTGTGATTTGTCTTTAGATCTTTCAGTCAGGAAAATAGTCTGTTGTAGAGTTATACAGCACTGGTTTGCTTCTAATGAATATGGAACCAAAATCACAGAAGTAAACATCTATACATTATTGCATGTTGCACAATATGCATCTTTTAGAACCTGCTTAATTGTGGAAAACAATTATGTGGAGTTTTATCCTTTACAAGTGCTAATTTTTAAAGGCAGTGATTTTATAACTTGTTGGCTACATCTAGACTGGCATGATTTTCCACAAATGCTTTTAACGGAAATGCTTTTCCGCAAAAGCACTTTTTGCAGAAAAGTGTCCGTGCCAATCTAGATGCAGATTTGCACAAGAAAGCCCCTATAGCCATTTTCGCAATCGGGGCTTTTTTGCGCAAAACAATACTGCGTTGTCTACACTGGCCCTCTTGCGCAAAAGCATTTGCACAAGAGGGCTTTTGCCCGAACAGGAGCAGCATAGTATTTCTGCAAAAACACTGACAATCTTACATGAGATCGTCAGTGTTCTTGCGGAAAGTCAAGCGGCCAGTGTAGATAGCTGGCAAGTTTTTCCAGTTTTCCAAACTTGCCAGTCTAGACGCAGCCATGGAGTTTATTACTGCAGGATTGTATTAAGAAACACTTCATTGTATCCAAAGACTTCTGTAAGCAGAACTAAATAGAGTACTTTTGACTTTTTTTGTGGGGATATAACAATAGTGAACTGTTGGGGAAACCAAGGTGTGGGTAGGTGGATAACTGGCAATAATAAGTAATAGAATGCAGATGGTGATGATAAATGTCTCATTCTTAGGTCTTCCAGAGGGATGGAAATGACTTGCACATGACACATAAGATAGGACTTGTTGAAGCACTGTGTGGATTTCAGTTCACATTTAAACACTTGGATGGACGTCAGATTATGGTAAAATATCCTCCTGGAAAAGTAATTGAACCAGGTAATCTTGATTTTTATACAAGAACTTATTTGGATACATTTGAACTGTTGTATCAAATTCTTCTCATGCTCTTGTAACTTGCAGCCTTTGTTGCAGAAATGCAGGGATATGACTTCATCAGATGGAAAGCTGTTACAGAACAGGCTACCTTAAACTGATAAGTCTTTTTGTCTTTTCTTACTATAGGTTGTATTCGTGTAGTTCGAGGTGAAGGAATGCCACAATATCGCAATCCCTTTGAAAAAGGAGATCTTTACATAAAGTTTGATGTGCAGTTTCCTGAAAATAACTGGATTAGCCCAGAAAAACTCTCAGTGAGTATTCCTTCTGTTTGGTCAAAAATGTTTTGATATGTGGTGTCTTAAGGGCTAATTGTTTTGTGCCCACACACTTCCTTTCCAGTAGTTTTTTTGGATTTGAGTACAGCCAAATTGTTCTTTCAGTATAATTTACAGTGCACAAGTGATTTTAAAACCTTCCATTTAAATGTCAGTTTATATTAAAAAAAGCTCTTGAACAGCAACCCTCCTGTAAGATTGTGGGAAGGGGGATAATAAAAAAGTGCTTGAAAACTTCTTGTAATAGCTACTATATTGAGAAGACAAGAAGGCAGCTGTTGTTTTGATTTGATTTTCATTTCTTGCTTCCTATGACCTTATCGATATGAGAAAGTTGGACCAGTTAGAGGACTGATTTTAACCAATGCAAATTAGTGCTGCAAACCTGTTTAATTTTAACCTAACAGATTAGCAATCTTAAGAGTCTTACACAGTTATCAAACATGAATGTCCCTAATGGGACTTGCAACTGGCTTTAAAACACACCTTTAGTTAAATTGGTGCAACTTAATCATGCAGAGATGGTCTAAGAATGAAGGGGAGATATGCCAAATATCGACATGTGCTTTCTCACACAACATTAACGGTACTCCGTTTATTGGCAGGAACTTGAAGATCTTCTGCCAGCTAGACCAGAAGTTCCCAGTGTAATTGGTGATACAGAAGAAGTGGATCTTCAGGAATTCGATACTACTCGTGGATCAGGTGGTGGCCAGAGGCGTGAAGCCTACAATGATAGTTCTGATGAAGAAAGCACTCATCATGGACCTGGGGTACAGTGTGCCCATCAGTAAACATTTGTCTAAAAAGTTGCACAAGGATTCTTTCCAGTTTTGCCTGACTTGTTTTCAGCAATCCAGCTGGATTGTATAAGCAATCCAGATGAACCGATGGACATCTATTGCTGTATGTGTAACTTTTAAATTGGTCTATAGTATCTACAGAGTGTATAATTTAAACTAACCACAAAGCTTACATCTTCATTTTGACTGTTCTGTAGCAGAATAAAGCACTTGAAAGGAAGACGAGACTCCTTTTCACATGGGTTTTAAGTTTCAGTCCTCGTATCTGTGCTTGATTTTTACCAGTTGTGTAGATTTTAAGTTTCATATTTTAAATTCAAATTCTACATTGTAAAGTTTGTGTACAACTTGTCCTGAGGCTTGGTATTTGGCTGCACCTGCGTAAGCTGCTACAAATAGAATAAAGAATTTCATAGCCTGTATCTATCATTTTAGATGCATGGTAAATAAATGGGCTTTACACATAGTGGGTTTAGAGCTGACTGGGAACAACGGAAGATTAAATTAGAAGTGGTTGTAAAAGTTTTTTACCATCTTGTGAGGTTTCCGAAAGTAAATAAAAGCCGTTGGTGTATAATATACTCCCTTCCCCTTGTCACACTTTTATTTATCTAAAAGGATACACTATTCTACTTGGCTAGTTCCTTTGTATTTGTTATACTATACTAGAAGTACTAGTACAATGGTATTCTTGTACTTGACTAAATGCTGTATAACTTTCATCTCTGCTCTAGAGTTCATAATCAAGTGAAAACTCATTTAAGAAAATTAAGTGTTCAAATACTAATACCTTCATATGCAGCTTTCCTTATTAATCAAGTATTTTTGAATTTAACATTTGTGCAGACTGATCTTTCAGTACAATTCCATCTTCTAAATCTTAAATGTGAAAAGATTTCACACCTCAATATGAAAATGCCAGGAAAGAGCTTTGACATCCAAAACTAAATCCTGCTCATTTTCAAAGTTAAGACTTTGAAAGTTTCACAGCTCTTGCCTAATATCCTAGTGAGATAAATAGAAAGGAACATAAACACTGTCAAATCAAGTGTAAAAATGTAATAAAAGCAAAAAAAATTGAGGAACAACTAGCAAAAAACTCTCAAAGAAATAAAATGTTTAAGTACATTAGAAGCAGGAAGCCTGCTAAAAACCTGTGGGTCCCCTAGACGATAGAGATAAAAGGAGCAATCAAGGACGATTAGCCATTGCGGAGAAACTAAATGATTTCTTTGCTTCAGTCTTCATGGCTGAGGACGTTAGGGAGATTCCCAAATCTGCACCGTCCTTTGCGGGTGATGAATCTGAGGAACTATCCCGGATTGAAGTGTCAGAGGAGGTTTTGGAACAAATAGAAAAACTTAATGTTAACAAATCTCCGGAACCGGATAGCATTCATCCAAGGGTTCTAAAAGAACTCAAATGGAAAACTGCTGAACTGTTATCTGTGGTTTGTAACCTATCCTTTAAATCGGCTTCCGTACCTAAAGACTGGAAGGTAGCCAACATGACACCAATATTTAAAAAGGGCTCTTGAGGCGATCCTGGCAATTACAGACCGGTAAGTCTAACTTCAGTACCGGGCAAATTAATTGAAACAATAGTAAAGAATAAAATTGTGAGGCATGAAGAACATAATTTGTTGGACAAAAGTCAACATGGTTTCTGTGAAGGGAAATCATGTTTTACTAATCTATTAGAGTTCTTTGAATGGGTTAACAAGCATGCAAACAAGGGGAATCCAGTAGATATAGAATACTTAGATTTTCAGAAAGCCTTTGACAAGGTGCCTCACCAAAGGCTCTTGTGTAAATTACATGGCCATGGGATAAGAGGGAAGGTCCTTTCTTGGATTGAGAACTGGTTAAAAGACAGGAAACAAAGGGTAGGAATAAATGGTACATTTTCAGAATGGAGAGGGGTAACTAGTGGTATCCCCCAAAAGTCAGTCCTGGGACCAATCCTTTTCAACTTATTCATAAATGATCTGGAGAAAGGGGTAAGCAGTGAGGTGGTGAAGTTTGTGGATGATACCAAACTGTTTAGGATAGTCAAGACAGAAGCAGACTGTGAGGGACTCCAAAAAGATCTCACCAAACTGAGATTGGGCAACAAAATGGCAAATGAAATTTAATGTGGATAAGCGTAAAGTAATGCACATCGGGAAAAATAACCCCAACTATACATACAGTATAATGGGGGCTAATTTGGCTACGACAAATCAGGAAAGAGATCTTGGGAGTTATCGTGGATAGTTCTCTGAAAACTTCCACACAGTGTGCAGTGGTGATCAAAAAGGCAAATAGGATGCTAGGAATTAAGAAACGGATAGAAAATAAGACAGAATATCTTGCCGCCCCTGTATAAAACTATGGTACGCCCACATCTTGAATACTGTGTACAGATGTGGTCTCTCCTCAAAGATATTTTGGCCTTGGAAAGGGTTCAGAAAAGGGGCAACTAAAATGATTAGAGGTTTGGAACGGGTCCCTTATGAAGAGAGGTTAAAGTGACTTGGACTTTTCAGTTTAGAAAAGAGGAGACTGAGGGGGGAGATGATAGAGGTCTATAAAATCATGAGTGGTGTGGAGAGGGTGGATAAAGAAAAGTTATTAGTTTCCCTAATAGAACTAGAGGACACCAAATGAAATTAAAGGTAGCAGGTTTAAAACTAATAAAAGAAAGTTCTTCACACAGCGTGTAGTCAACCTGTGGAACTCCTTGCCAGAGGCAGCTGTGAAGGCTAGGACTATAACAGAGTTTTAAAGAGAAGCTAGATAATTTCATGGAGGTTAGGTCCATAAAAGGCTATTAGCCAGGGGATAGAAATGGTGTCCCTCGCCTCTGTTTGTCAGAGGCTGGAGATGGATGGCAGGAGACAAATCGCTTGATCATTGTCTTCAGTCCACCCTCTCTGGGGCACCTGGTGCTGGCCACTGTTGGCAGAAAGGCTACTGGGCTAGATGGACCTTTGGTCTGACCCAGTCCGGCCGTTCTTATGTAATATGGAAACTGGAACACAACTCTTGGGATGTGTCTTTGATCTGCTGTCCTTTAGCAACAGGGCTTTGATTTTCTTCCAGAATTGAAGATGGGTAACTTTCAAGAACTTCAGACCAAGACCTGAAGACAATGTATATAGTCATCTAGTCTAGCTCCTCTCATAAGTCCTTGCACCATGTATTACCTACTTCTGCTAAACTATTAGTTCCACCTTGTATTTATCTGTGAAACAAATATCTTTCCTAGACCTGAAGTAGAGCTTTGTGGGGCACCACAACTTGTGGTTATGTCTACACTGGCAGCTTCTTGTGCAAGAACTCTTTGACGGAAGAGTTCTTGTGCAAAAACTCTTCCACAAGAGAGCATCTACACTGCCATGTGCTTTTGCACAAGAGCATCCATGGTAGTATGGACGCTCTCTTTCACAAAAAAGCTCTAATGGCCATTTTCACCATAGTGGCTTCTTGCTTAAGAAATTCATGCTGCCTGTCTACACTGCCCTCTTCTGGAAGAGCTCTTGCACAAGATGGCATATTTCTCATGGGGAGAAGAATAACTCTTCTGGAAGAAGCCTTGTTTTACAATGCTGTACTGTAAATTTACTTCTGGAAGAACACTCTAGGTTCTTCCGTTAAAAGCATTTGCGGAAAAGAGCGTCTAGATTGGCAACTTTTTGCGGAAAAGCGTCCGTGCCAATCTAGACGCGGTTTTGCGCAAGAAAGCCCCAATCGCCATTTTACCATCGGTGCTTTTTTGCGCAAAACAGTTTTTAGCTGTCTACACTGGCCCTCTTGCGCAAAAACATTTCCCAAAAAGGGCTTTTGCCTGAACGGGAACGTCAAAGCATTTGCGCAAAAAGCACTGATTTCAGACAGTAGAACGTCAGTGCTTTTGCGCAAAATCAAGCGGCCAGTGTAGACAGCTGGCAAGTTTTTGTGCAAAAGCAACTGCTTTTGCTGAAAAGCTTGCCAGTCTAGACGCAGGCATGCAGTGTAGACAGCCGGCAAGTTTTTGCGGAAGAACGGCTGTTCTTGCACAAGAAGCTGCCAGTGTAGACGTAGCCTGTCTGTCTTAGACATGGGTTACACTAGACCCAGAAGTTCAGCTTCACATATGTAACTCCAGCTATGTAAATAATGTAGTTTGGCACCATATTCATAGTGGAAGGTTGACGGGAGCAAACTCTCCCATCGATTTCCTTTTGTCCTTGTGATTGTGAGGAGTAATGGTGCCGACTGGAGGTCCCCTCAGCATTTGATTTTAGCGGGTTTTAACTAGACCCTCTAAATTGAGCTCCAGAAGCTCAATCTCTGGCACATAAGTATAGATGTAATCTTATCAACAGAAGATGGTTCAGTATAGGGATGTAAGCGTGTAGCCATTTAAATGGGAAAGTGCTAAGCATGAGCTTACCCGTTACCCAAATGATTACATGTGGCTCCCAGGGAGCTGCCTGTGGCCAGCCCCATGCTGCTGTCTTTGTATCAGAGGCAGCAGCTGGCTCCCTAGGGTTGAGGTGGCAAGCGCACAGTGGCTCCTAGGGAGCTGGCTGCTGCCCCTCATGTAATTATGTAACTGCTGAAAATTTCAGCAGTGAAATGGTTAATTACACATTTTAACCTAGGCCAATAAAAGATATTACCTCACTCATCTTGTATCTAATACCCTTAGACTGACACTGCTACAACTAGGCTGTAGTCTCCATTTCTGTAAGGGTGGGAAGGAGGGAAGCATCTGAATCACCTGATGAAAATTAAAACAATTCCCCTTCTAACACTTTCAGTGTGTATCACTTTTACTTGCAGAACAGTCTTCATGTGGACAGAGGTAAAGTAAAATGTAACGGATACAGTGGAATAAATTAAAGTTTGTGATTGGTAATATCAATAAATGAAGCTTAGTAGTCAAGAGTTCTGTACAAAGACCAGGAGTGAACTATGCTAAGCTACTACAAATGCATTTATGTTCCTGGCAGCAGGGACTGATTTCAAAAGAGCTAGACAGACAGTATCTCAACATAACAGCAAGCTGTTTTAGTGTAGCCATTACTGAGAAGGGCAAAGAATAATTAGTTTTGCAGATGTTTAGAGGGAACTCCCAAGGTCAATAGGAGCATGGAAGTGCTTGTTTGAAAATGTGATGGGGGCTAATGCTGCAGGTCAGAGGTAGGAGTCAACACCTCAATAACAGGAAGATGACAGATAGCATGACCTTTAAAGACAAGCAGTTTGTTTTATGCAACAGAGATGGAGGAAACTAGTGGAGCAATGCAGACAGGTGTGATGTAGTCAGAATGTCTGCTTAGGGAAATTAATCTTTGCAGCATCATGCTGAATGGACATGAGCCAGAGTTAGACTTTATTTGTCATGGTCAGTAAGGAGGAGGTTGCAGTAATCAAGCTGTAAGATCAGAGCTTGGGCAAGATTTCTGGCTGTGTGACTAAGACGACATGGGCTATGTAGAAAGAAACAGTAAGACTAAGACTCAGTCCAGATGCAAGGTGCTAGAGTCATTCAAATGAAAGATGACACCCATGTGACAGGCAAGAGCATGGTGATTAATAGGAAGTGGGAGAAA